CTGCTGAACAGTTCTCAGACTGGATGGTAGTTCAGCCCCTCCACAGCCACCCGTGTCCAGGCCGCCCCCCCGTCACTTGCCTGCATATCCAGTCTCCCAGGTGCCACCCTTGCTCCCTTTCAACCCATTCCCCAGGGAGTTTTCCAAAAATGCAAACCTGACATGGTCCCTCTTCTGCTCCTTACTCTCCCATGGCTCCCTAGTGCTCTCGGGATAAAATCCAGGCTCCTCCCCACAGCCCGTCACCTCCCTGCCCTCATATCCTCCACACTCCCCCTTGCTTCCCTCCACGCCAGCCACACGGGCCTCCTCCCTATGGTTTAAACATCGCAAGCTCATTGCAGCCTCAGGGCTTTTGCACAGGCTGTTCTTCCAACTTGAAATGCTCTTCCCGCTTCTTCCATCTCACAACCATTGATGCCTCCTCCAGAAAGCCGTCCCCGACCCCTCCTCCAAAGGCAGAGGATGAGGACACCCCACCCCCGACCCCCATCTGCCAAGTTCTGGCCAAAGGGCCTCGGAGGGTCAGTGTCTGGCTTGGTGCCCCCTGGCCTGGGACCAAGGCCTCCCAGGAGTCGAATCTTGCCCAGTGCAGGACCCAGGGGATATGTGGTGAGGTAACATGGGAACTCTCCGCCCGTGCCCACCCGGTGCTCCCAGTCTGCTCCCGACGGTGCCCGCTGACCTGTTGCTGGGTGTGGAGAAAACAGCAAGGACCACGGGCCGGCCCCCCAGGCTGACCACGCCCGTGACGGCCCGCAGCACGTTGAAATAGAAGTGGGAGTCCCCCGGCACCGAGCAATTGAGCCGCGCCTTCAGGAATGACGTCCACTGCTTCTCCAGCACGCGAGGGGAGCCGCCCACGTCATTCTTGCACACCCGGGCCACACGGGCCACCACCACCTGGCACAGCAGTGGGCGGGGGCTGAGCCCTGCGTTCCGCAAGGCCTGACCGCAGGTCGCGCTGCCCGCTACCCAGGCTGGGATGCAGGATCCTGGCCCTGGGTCACTGTGGGTGCCCCAGCCAGCCACCTTAGCCCCCTGAGCACCAGATTCCCCAGCGAAATGTGGGGATGATGATGATCACAGCCACCACGACAAGCATAATCATCATCGCTTCCACTTACAGATCACTCACTAAGTACCAGGCACTTTATCCTCCTCATCTCTCACGTTCCTCCCAAAGCTCTACAGAGGAGGGCCTACTGATATCCCCGGGGTACGGAGGGGAAACTGAGGCACAGCGAAAGGAAAGTGACCGAGGCCCAAGGTCACACTAGTAGTAAGTGGCAGTCTCTGCACTTCAGTGTCTCCGTGGATTGAGGGATGGGATGGATGTATGGATGGATTAGTGGATGGATGGATGAATTTGAAGGACACAATGATGGACAGTGAAGATAATCAGCTGATGGATGAACGGGTGTGTGGATGAACCGGTGGCTGGCTGGATGGTTGGATGAGTAAATGGGTGTGAGTCTGCATGAATGGATAGATGGGTAGATGAACGGGTGGGTGGATGGATGGATGAATGGATGGATGGGAAGGCAGATGAAGGAGGTAATGACAGATCAGTGGATGGGTGGATCCATGGGTGGATAGAAGGTTGAATGGAGTGGATGAGCAGGTGATGAGGAAGAGATAGGAGAGATAATTGGATTATAGAGGGGTGGGCAGGTAGGTGGAGAGATGGATGGTAGATGGATGAGCTGATCAGTAGGAGGATAGATCAATAGATGGTTAGGTGTATGAATGAATGGACAGGTATGTGTATGAATGGATAAAGAAGGCAATGAGTGGGAGGTGGGTGGATGGATATATAGGTGCATGGAAGGGTAGATGAGTAGACGGATGGATGGAGGATGGCTGAGTCGGGGTGGGCGGATGAATAGATAAGCGGTTTGATTGGAAGTGTGGGTGGGCTGAAGAACAGATAGGTGGGTAGGTGAGAGGGCGGCTGAGTGGGAGAGTGAGTGGGCAGACAGATGGGCTGTTGAGGAAGGATGGATAAATGATGGTAGATGGGTGGGTGGACAGGTGAACAGCAACGGCACTGGGACTGGAGTCAGGGGTGTATCTGGAGTCAGGGGTGTATCTGACTTCAGACCCGGGACCCTCACCCAGGGCTGCTCCAGAAATGTCTTCAAGCCCCAGGGGCCTGGACCCGGCTGGAGTGGAGGGCCCTGAGGACCAGAGGGACCCTCTCGCCCCAGGTGGAGTTTCACGGAACCACCTCTGCTCCCCACTTCCCGAGATCAGAGCCTCTCAGCTGCATGCCCCACTGCCTGGGCCTCTTTGGGAGGGGAAATAGGGCCCTACCTTTTCCAGGTAGTTAAACTCCATTGCGATCTCCCGGAAGAAAAAGTAGATGTGGCTGCCCCACTCCACCACGTGGACAAAGTAGGGCTCTGTAGGAGAGGAGGGGTCAGAACACAGCCCGTGACTGGAGAAAGGGAGTTTCTGGGGCTGGGAACACAGTAGCCTGGGTGGCTGCTTTTACAGTGAAGGGGGGGAAATATAAGCTGATTACCCAGGCAAAATAAAAGAGACCAAAATTTGGGGGGTTTTTTGGAGGGAGTTGGTGTCAGAATCCTAAAATCACCATGTGTTCTTTCCACAGACAGCAACGTCTACTATTTTGTCACCTTCCTCCCTCATGTGTTGAGCTGAGCTCATGCTGTTCCATTTCAGGTTACTAAGCCACCCATTTCCAGCAAGTTCTACTTTAGATCCAACTTAAGTCTTTCCTCTAACTTTATCTTCAAAGAGGCTAGTAGGTTCCAAAGATGAGATGGGAGTTCCCTGCCCGTCTCCTCTGGGACTGTTATTCTGGTGGGGGAATTTGATGAATGTCAGCCCTACCAGGTCTGCCCCTATCGCCCCACCTTTGAACCACTTGGAGTCGTGTTTCACGGTGCGCAGAGTGGGCCGGTCCCCGAGGCTGCGGTAGATGACGGCGTCGATGGCTAGGAAGTCGGTAACGGTGGCTGTGAAGAGCATCCCTTCTGGATGGGGTTGAGTCAGGGGGAGGCAGGTGAGAGATTAGATCATAGAGGCCGGAGGCTGGGTGGGTCAAAACTTGACTTCACGACTGAGCCCTGAGCCTAAGTGAGCCCTAAGCCCCAGGCTGAGCCCCAACCCTGCCGAGGCCCTGATTCAGGCTTATCCCCAACTCCTCAGCTCATCCCCAACCTCGGCTGAGCCCTGCCCTTGAGATTCTGCCTGTTTCATAGCTGGAGAGATGGTCTCCCAGCCATCTTCTAAATGACCTGACTCCAAGAGTGGAAAATGCCATGTCTTGCTGTGGACTGGGGCCCCATCAGATGGTCAGAGTTGGGGGCACTCACCAGAGAAGAGGGCAACATTGGCGTGTTTGGGGTCGTATGGGCAGCGGGCCATGCCGCTGATGTTGTCCCCGAGGGGCTGCAGTGTGTCCATCTGCAGGGGGGACAGGGACTGAGTGACAGAGCTCCTGTCTATACCTAGCAGCCCCTGGCTCCCCCAGCCACCCCCTCCAAGGGGAATCCTGGCGCCACCTTGGATGTTGTGTGACTTAGTCATTTAACCTCTCTGGGACTCAATTTACTGATCTGTAATAAATGGGTCTGAATCAATCCTAATTCATCCTATAACTGGTTTGTAGTTTAAGTTGCTGCAGCCTGTACAGGCCTCCTTTGGAAGCCTCCTCTGGAGCTCTGGGTGAGGGGTCTGGGAGGGCATATCCAGTAAGGCTTCCTGTAGGAGATGATGTGGCCTGGGGATAGGGCATGACCAGTGGAGGGCCAGTGAGCAAAGGCGTGGAGGTTGAACCTGGGGCAGTCAGGGCTTTGAAGAGCGGCGACTCACGCTGTAGTTGGCACACACGGGGTTGAAGGCATTGGAACCACACACGAAGAGCGTGGATTCGTCCCGAAGTAGAAGCACCTTTACAAAATTTCGACACTCGCCCTGGATTGGGGCCGCGGGAAGAGAGAAGCCAGGGTGGGTGTGGTCACGGGTGTGGGCGGGGTCAGGGAAGAGGCGGGGCCTGCAAGGAGGGGCCAGGGATGTAGGCAAGGCAAAATCAGGGGGCTAAACTAGGACTCGGCTGGGGGCGAGGCCATGACTAAGGGAGGGGCCCAGACAGGGAAATTGGGCACTTGAAGGGGTGGAGCTATGGCAAGACGAGGGCTAAGGGCACGGCCACGACTGAGGACCACCTTGGGGGCGTGGCCAGGCTCTGGGAGTAGCCATGGCAACACCAGGGCCCTGGCTTAGAAAGAACGCAGATTTGCCCTGGGGGGTGGCCAGTACGGATTGGGGCGTGGTTGGAGGCGTGGCCAGGGCCCACTTACCTCCTGCTTGCCCTTCATACGACACACGTTGATGTCGCTGGGGTTGGAGCGCCAGGTCAGCTTCTGGGACACAGAGAGCTGGTGAGGTGAGCGGGGTCCTTGACAGCCCTAGGAACCCTGCTAGGGAGGCCCGAATCCACCTTGCTCCCCAGCTCAGTGTCCGGGCCCCCTGGCGGGAGCCCCAAGCATTACCCCCTCCCCTCCCGCCTGCACCCCCTCCTCACCCGCTGGTACCGCAGCTCCATGGACGTGGGGGGCTCCAGCTCCACCCGGTACAGGTTGTCCCTAGAGGAGGGGTGTAGTTAATGAGATCGGAGAGACTCCCCTCCCTGCCCACTATTCTGACAGCAGACGTGAGGTCCAACACGTGCCAAACAGGGGCGTGCCAGCGCCTCTGCCATGTGCAGCTCCGCATGTGCATGCCCTGACACGCCTCCTTGTGCCCTAAAGTGAGCCACGGGTTCTGGCACACCCCACATGCCTTACCACGCCACCTCACGCTTACACACCCCATGGCCTACACCCAACACAACGCACTGTCTGATGCCTTTACATCCGCTGTCCCCCTCTCAGCACTCCTCAGTCTCTCCCAGGCTCTCACCACTCCCCCCATGACGCAGAAACTGCCCTAATCAAGGTCACTGGCCCCTGTTAAGTCCAGCGGTCACTCCTCTGTCCTCTCCACAGCGTTTCCCCCGGCCAGTCCACCCTCGTCCTGGGAACTCCATCCTCACTGGGTTCTTGGACCCTGCACTCTCCTGGCTTCCCTCCCACCTCTCTGGGCCCTCTTCTGTCCCTGGTGGGCCCACACCTGGGTCCTCTGGCCTCTTCCCTCCCCCATTCATACCCCTCCTGGGCCGCCTTGTCCACTCTCAGGGCTGGAACCACGTCTCTGCCTGGATGACACCCACAGTCCGGTCTCCAGCCAGGGCCTCCCCTGAGCTCCAGATTTGGGGTCCAGCTAACCCTCAAGGTCTCCACGAGGGGGCTCAAAGGTGTCTCATACTCTGTCTCACACTCAGCTTGACCACACAGCACCCGACCATCCCCCAAATCTGCTCCCGCCCTGTCCGCCATCTCAGCTGAGGTAACTCTATCCCCACGACGTGGGAGTCACCTTCAACTCCCTTCTCCTTCCCTCCCAATATGTCACCTCTGCCTTCAGTATCTAGCGAGGGTTCACCCACTTCTCACATCCTCTATGACCACCACCCTAGTTGAGCCCCCATTACTGCCCACCTGGACCAGCATTGTCCCCTCTGTCCTAGTCTAGTGGCTCCTGCCCTCACCAGTACAGTCTGTCTTCCCCCAGCCGCCACCAGAGGGCACCTGTGAGCACCTGAGTCAGGTCCTGTCCCTCCTCTGCCCACAGCCCTCCAGGGTCCCACCTCCCTTGGGGGTAAAAGCTCAAGTCCTCCTCTGCAGCCCACAAGGCCCTGCCCTCCCTGACCCGTTCCCTCCCTGCCCTCCCCTCCTCCTTCTCTCCCCCTCACTCACTCTGCTCCAGCCACATGGGCCTCCTTGCTATCCCTCCACCATGCCAGGCAGAGTCTGGCCCCAGGACTTTTGCACGGGCTGTGTCCTATGCCCTGACTTCTCCCTCTCCCTCAGATTTCCTTATAGCTGGCTCTTCATCATTCAGTTCTCAACTCAAATGTCACCTTCTCAGAAAAGCCTTTGGAGTGCCACTTCAGCACCCCCTCTAGCACCCAGTGAATTTTGACCAAACAGCTGTCCCTACCTGGTAACACATCATAGCAAGCTCTGGGCTCCAACCACACCCAGAGTTCAGCACCCTTAAAAATCCCACCCCAGGGACACACATTCACACTCCAGCCAAACAACAGGCCCCAGCATGCAAACCTCCCTAAAATGCTACCACCTCCCCCCACACCTCACGCTGCACACTCTGCCCGACAGTCCCTCGTACCTGTCCCCGATGAAGA